ACCTATAAGCAATAAATATTATTTCTATAAATATTGGCGATATAAATAACTTTACTTTTATACCTACTAGTTGGATTATGTATGTAAGTATGAAACTTGAAAATACATCTTTTTTTTATATATAATTTAAAGAAACATGAAAATACATAAAAAAAATTGATAATTTAAAATCCCTTGTGAAAATGTAAAAATTAATCTTTAATCTGACAAATTTTAAACATCACACTATCAAATATAGATTTATTAAACAAACTTCTAAAAGATGCAAAGTTGAAATTCTACTTTGTGGTAAAGACAAAACATTACTTTCTAACATTCTTAAATTTATAATAATAGTAAAATTTGATTATGAATAATTATGGATGCATATTAATTCATACAATTACATTTAAAATTTTGAAACAATAATGTGCATATTTTTTTTAAAAAGTTAAAATATTTTTAAAATTAAAATTTATTAGTTAAAAATGTAAAATTTTAATAAGCATTTTTAAGATGCATCAAAGCTCCTTAGGAATGGAGGGCCAAGACTTCCTCTACAACATAGAGCTTATATATTTCCCCTTATCCAACCGTTCATTCTAAATGGAGGGCTAAGATTGCCCCAATCACAATGTCACATCTCTACACTATTTTATTTTTTATTTTTTTCTATAAACTATTTTAATGCCAAATTTTGTATGTTCAATCCTCTATTAAACTCGCACTAGCAAAAAATATAATTTTTTTTTAATAAAATAAAATAGCCAAAATAGCCCTAAAAGTTTTTGGCCATGATATTTTATCAAAAAATTATTTTTAATATTTTTTTATAGGTGTGCCCCAATAAGAAGATGGCAAGTACCAAATTTCATTCTCATACAATTTGTATAAAAATAAATAAAAATAAAATACTTTGAGATGTTAGATCTTAGATCAAACGATGAGTGGCTCTCTTGATCAAAATTGGATGGCTGGATGGTAGGGGAAGCATAGATCTTCTATGTTGTAAAAGAAGTGTAGAAGCTTTACTCATATGAAAATACATAAAACAAATCTCTTCATAATATATAACATAGTATTATAAGCCAGTAAAAAACTCAAAAAGGGAATCTGCTGATACAATGATTACTCTGAGCATGAGAATACTGATTATAGAGAGCCCAACAATTTCACGTGGTAAGCATGAGAATACTGGTTAGATACAGAGAGCCCAACAATTTCATATGGTTATAGAGAGAGCCGAACAATTTCCTCTACTTCCAGCCAAAACTCAAATCAATATTGGATGAAATATGATTCTAAAAAGATTGTCGATACCCACTATAAACTTTACATGGGTCTCTCTCTAAATAAAACCAAGCCTTCTCTTTAAAAAACCCAACCCCATCTATATTGGGTTTATATCATGCATATTTTTAGTGCTTTCAACCCAACCCATCTCTCTTATTTTATGTGGGTTTACATCTAAAGGAACACAATAATAATACTTTCAACCCAACCATCTTTTTTTCTCTCTAAAATCGAATCTTATATTTTTGATAAAAACTCAAAAAAAAAAATCATTAACGGTTCTCTGCTCTCTCCTCTACCAAGGAACACATCAATGCTTTGAAACTCAATTCTTGGTTTATTTTTTTTGACAATCATTTTTTTTAACATCACAAATACATCTCTCCAACTGTCACCAACAATCAAATCTCTTATGTCATCGAGAAAGTTTGACATGGGGAAAAAGAGAAATATGTGGACGAAAAATTTCATTAAAAAATTGCCATGAAACCGATGTAATACTACACAAATATTTGAGAGAGAGGTTATAAAAAAAAAGAGTGGGAATCTCAAGATGTTATTTGAAATTACAGCAGTGTGCACAGCCCTTCAACAATTTGTCCTAGAGACAAATAATCTGTCGTGGTGGCTGATAATGGGCCGTATAGTAGTCCTCGAGGCACCATCTTGGCAAAACTTCCAGCATACTAAACAAGATAAGTGATGTGAAACTCTTATACCCACATCCCCATGCTCACATCCTCCATCTTGATCAACAAACTTTTACACCCACATCCCCATGCTTACATCCTCCATCTTGATCAGCTTGAGGCTGTGATTAGCATGTTCAGAGATGATAAATCTTGCAATGTTAATTGAAATGATGTACCCGGGCCCACTGGCATAAGGGGCATATACTTCCTCAGGCCACTCTGTATATGTGGTAGCCCATTTCCCAGATCGGAGAAGCCTGAGCAACAGGTTGAGGATATCCATATAATGGATTTTTTTTCCGATCGGAGAGAGGCCTGTGCAACAGGTTGAGGTTACCCAATTGTCTCTCTCGAACATTCATCCAACAAAGAAACAAAAAAAAAACCAACAGTAAAGCAGTGAAGTAAGTTACATTCTAGTCAAAGTATAAACCATAAAAACAAAGAAATAAACTCTCATTTGCAAAAGAATCCATTAATGCTCTCAAACACATTTCTCTCTCTAACCTCTCATTAAGAGTCTCAACTAGTGCATAAAAACAAAAAAGTCATATTACATAAAACCATTTACATTCATGGATCAAGGAAAAAATAGACCAAGAAAAAAATAGACCTAAAAGGAAAGAAAAAATAATTAAAAGAAAAAAGCAAAAAAAATCAAAGAAAATGGAGTTTACTGTACTACTTAGAGGAGGAACACGACCTATGAAACAAATTGAAATTCGAAATAATGGTATAGAGAAGTTTGAGAAATGGTAGGGGCCTGTCTTCCGTATTGGATTACCAAAAAAAACCTGCTTCTAATATTTTTAAAAAGAATTACAAAGAAATGATTGTTTTAAATCGTGCATATACAAAACTTTTGCAAATATAGTTTCTAAAAATACTACATGCAATAGGTATGAATATATATCCCTTAAAGATAACTACCATTAGAATAATTTTTTGCATTTTTTAGATTTATCCTATTATTTTCAAAATTATATTAAATATTTATTGCTATATAAAACAAGTTAATGTAATAATAATAAATTAACAAAAAATTATTTATTAATATTTATAAAAATTATAATTATATTAATTTAAAATGCTTTTTTTTCTCTTCCCCTAAGGATTTAGCCCCTCTCTCCCTTAGAAAATGAGGGCGTACAACTTTAGGTTTCTCTCCCCCTTAAAGATTGGTAACTATCCTACAACATATCTAGTATCAAGATCTTTTTTTATTTTTACGACATGTGTCACCCTTTAACACTGGCTTAATAATGTAGTATTAATAAGCTATCAATAACTTTTATATACCTATAAGCAATAAATATTATATCTATAAATACAGGAAAAAATAAATTAATTTTGGCAAAATAATTAACTTTACATTTCTATATCTATAAGCAATAAATAACTTTTATATCTATAAATATTTGCGAAATAAATTATTTTTGGCAAAATAATTTTATATTCCTATAAGCAATAAATATCTATAAGTATTGGCGAAATAAATTTATTTTGACAAAATAAATAACTTTACTTTTCTATATCTATAAGCAATAAATAGCTTTTTTATCTATAAATATTGACGAAATAAATCAATTTTGGAAAAATAATTTTATATAGCTATAAGCAATAAATATTATATCTATAAATATTGGCGAACTAAATTACTTGACTTCTAAAACTTTTATATAGCTATAAGCAATAAATATTATAACTATAAATATTGGTGAAATAAATTAATTTTGGCAAAATAAATAACTTTTTATACCTATAAGCAATAAATAACTTTTATATCTATAAATATTGGCAAAATAAATAACGTTACTTTTATACCTATAAGCAATAAGGGTGCAATTTGTATAAAGCCGAGGCTCTAAACAATCAAAGTAAAACCCTCCTTCAAATAGTGTCGCTTCAAATAGTATCGAGAAATAAAGTTTCAATACTAGAAATCTTTGTGAAAGCCTTAAAACAATCAAAGCGCTCCTTCAAATAGTGTCGAGAAATGTAGTTTCAATACTAAAAATCTTTGTGATAGGCCTAAAATATATTTTTATTTTTATTTATAAATTTAAAGCTTAAAAAATAGAGTAGATCGAGCAAATCTATAAAAGTCTTGCAAATTAGCGGTCCAAAAATCCGTTACAAGATGCACTATTTCTAAAACTTGAAATCCTTTTTTTTTCATGTCCATGCATCTGGATGTCGAGATCATCACTTTGAATATATTTGGGCATCAACACAACCTCTTAAGGTGCAAATTTTTAGATGGGCTATAATTTGATTGTTTAGAGCCTCGACTCTATATAAACATTTTCCGAACAATAAATAACTTTTAAAGAAATTTACATAAATATCCGTTTTAGTTCCTGTTATTACCAAAATATCGAATACTTTCGATTATTACTGATATCTATTTTTTTGGACTTCATAACAATTTTTTTAAAAAATACTAAACTCATTTTCAGTTTTTAAAAAATCGAAATCAAGCAATATCAGTTTTTGAAAAGCCGAAACTTTTAAATTTTTGATTTTTCAAGAACCAATATTTTCAAGAACCGAAAGTTTGATATTTTTTATTTTTAAAAAACCAAAAACATAATATTTTCTTATATGTTCAGCCTTAGTACCTAGTTCTACACTTACTCTGTATTAAATAATTTTCCCTTATAACAATATGACTAAGAAAAGCTTTCGAAAAAAGTTTATATAAAGTATCAACTTATGCTGTATGGGTAAAGTGCACCTAAAAAACCCTTAAGAGAAGGTTGCTCCCACACTAAAAAACCCTCAAATCAATCATCTCGACCTCGAGATTCATAGACATGAAAAAAAAGATTAAAAAAGAAAAAGTTTTTAGTCCTACAAATAGTTTATCTTCTAGCACATTATTTAAACCACCCATTTTTCAAGACTTTCAAGTGTGTATGGATCTGCTTGATCATCACTTTACTGGATTTTTAAATTTCATAATTAGGAACAATAATATATTTTTATGTTATCGCAAGGCTTTACGGCACCGAAACTGCATTTTTTACACATGCGCACACAAAGAGAGGCTTACCATTATCCCACAAGAAAATTCTAACAAAAATAAGCATCCGTTTTGCTATACATATTGCCAACTACCATTGTAACAACGAAAAACTTGGAAACGGAAGACAAAAAGATAACCAAATAGATCTTACCATTCAGGTAACTTAAAGTTCAATGCTCACTGTAACAAAACAACATAGCACCGTGAAGGAAGACACAGAATTCAAGCCTATCTATAAAAGTCGAAATCGGTATCCGGTTTCTTGACATTTGTTCGATAACCCTTCTCAAAGTCCTTCGGCAATATTACATAACGGTTCTTCCGCACGGCATGCATCCCAGCCTCTTGACAAATTGCAGCAATCTGTACAAGTTCATGAAGACATGAAATTCCACAACCAAATTTCACCAGCTTTTTTTTTCTTGAGATTCAATTTATCCCAAGTAGTCTTAAGAAAAGCAATGAATCTTCTCATAAATTTTAAATTTAGCCTCTTCCATGACAAAGCACCATACTACATTAAATTCACATAATTGTCAAAGGGGATTGGGCGACGTTGGTTCATTCAGAAACCGACTCATAATTCATTGACCTTATATTTTCCTCACGCTCTTTCCCCTTCCTCTTTCTTCAGAATTTCATTGTCATGATATACTGCAGTTTATACATTGCAATTCCTATGTAAATGTTTCAGTAGAGCATACGTCACAAATTGTGTTATGATCCCCATAATAGATTCTAGCTAGAGTAATAGCTAAATCTAAAGGTGGCAATCGGCCCTGTAGCCTGGCTCGGACCCAAAAAAATACGGCTTGGGCCACAAAATGTGGCCCAAGGGCCAGCCTCCTTGGCTTGAGGGCAGGGCCTGGGTGGCCCTTCACTTTTGTTCTTTAGATTTTCTTTTTAATTTTTCAGTTTTTTCATTTGGCCTGGTCTGGCCCGGCCCGGCCCGTTTAGGGCCAGGGAAAGCCCTATAGGGATCAGGATTATGTTTCATTTTTTCCATTTGATTCTCAGAGATCGGTAGGATTATTCCATTTTAACGGTTCTTATGCTCATATATCTCCCCTAAAATGCCCATCTCCATTTGTTTGTGAAGTGTGATCACAAGTTTTACAATTATCATGTCTATCTAGAGTTTGTGTGTGCGCGAGGAGATGAGATCAGTTCCCACTTTAAACTCCAAAATCAAACATGCTAGTGCGGACTATCCTGGAAATGGCTTGGATTATATATATATACATACATATATAGGGGGAAAGGCTGGCGTCAGTCCATGGGCTAACCACTATAGTGTTAGCCAACGACCCAGATGAGTTGATGGTCACGATCTCGTTTCGTATTTGAATTTTCATTTTTTTTCTACAAATCCAAATGACTTGAAATTTTAAAAATTCATTCTTCACATCAAAGCACCCCTAATAAAAATATTAAAAAAATAACTTTCTAAAGGTATTTTGATCAATTTATATTTTATGAATTATTTTTTATATTTTTATTAGATTATCCTATTTTTAAAGAATAGACGCTCAAAATTTTAAGTTATTTGGATTTGTAGAAAAAAAATGAAAATTCAAATACGAAATACAATCGTGACGATTGGATCGGGTCCAGAATTCAGTCTAAGCCGTTAGCTAACACTGTAGCTGAAGGTGGTGGGCTATCGCTAGCCTTTCCCATATACATATATATATAAATATAAAATCGAAAACAGAGTCAAAGAAAGAGCATATCCAGTTAGCTATTTAGAGTAGAAATTACCTCAGCAGCACTGATTTTGTCTGGTCGAGAAACATAATCTTCCAAGTCGACTTCATCACCTAGGTTCATTTTTGCAGTGCACACCTGAAAATAAAGAAGGGTTAACTTTTTGGAAAAAAGAAATACAGATTATACCAGCCAGAACTCAGCTTTGGCTACCCACTATCCCCTTAAATTGCCAAATATAATGAGTCCTGATAAATCAGCACCATCACATATAAAATACATCGATAAATGGAAAACTAGCTGGCGAAACACACTTAAAACTCCCAGTTACAGTAAAATGCAAACACTCACTGTTCCCAACAGTTAAAAAGGCAAAGATACCCCTAAGTTTCCTAAGATGATGAAGAGATTCTGAATAAACTCATGAGAACAACTCGAGATTGGTAATCCATCCTAAGTGACACTAAATTTACAAACCTAGCACATAGAGCCCAGTCCTTATATCCCTAGTTTGGTTTCATACAATGAGGACAACAGAAAGACCACTGCCCATTCAGTAACTCCTATGGAAATGGTGGATGGAGAAGACACAACACAGCAGAAGACATAATTCCAATGGTCGATCTCACTCTCTCCATCACAATCCATCATTCCAATGGACGATGGTTTTCCATAATCCACATTGAAAGTTGGTAAACTTCTTCATTCATACAATAAAAAATCTTTATGTACAGAACGGAAATAAAATTAAAAAAGACAAAACACATTGAGCAGGTAAATTGACAGGAATTAGAGGCACAGAGACTAGGGAAACCAAATTCACCTGAAAGACAAGCCTCTTTTGGCGCCTATCTGGCAGTGGGAATTCAATTTTTCGGTCAAGCCTGCCAGGCCTTAGAAGAGCAGGGTCCAGGGTGTCTGCCCTATTGGTTGCCATTATCACCTTCACATTCACCGTCTGATCAAAACCGTCCATCTGCATATTGCATTCAATCAAATACACATAATTCCACAACTTGATAAATGAGAGAGAGAGAGAGATAATTCGACAACTTGATAAAAGAGAGAGAGAGAGAGAGAGAGAGAGAGATGGTGACAAACACATGAAAATCAGGATTTCTCCGGTCATTTTTCAAGTGTTTTTTCTACCACCCTATTTCTATCAGCCCACCTGATTCAAAAGCTCCATGAGAATACGTTGCACTTCCCTGTCAGCTCCAGTTTGTGCATCAAAACGTGCAGTTGCTATGGCATCCACTTCATCAATAAATATAATGGCAGGTGCATTTTCTTTGGCCAAACGGAAAACATCACGGACCATCCTTGGACCCTAAATATAAAGACCAATCCAACTTAATTAAGGAAGAGTAAGGAAAAAAATGCAAGCTTCAACATTTAAAATATGATTTGATATCAACTGTGGATCAAAACTGAATTTTAGGTTTCGGACAAATGTTCTGCTTAATTCACTCTTGAATAACATTCTTTTTATTTAACAAAGGAGAACAATAAAAGTTCAACTTACCTCACCAAGATACTTCTGAACAAACTCAGAACCAACGACACGAATAAAAGCTGCTGTTGTGTGATTGGCCACAGCCTTGGCAAGCATGGTTTTCCCAGTACCAGGGGGGCCATAGAGCAAAACACCACGAGGCGGGTCGATACCAATTTGTTTATATAACTCATGATGTGTCAATGGTAACTCGACAGCCTCACGAATTTCTTGCTTTTGTATGTCACAGCCTCCAATATCCTACACCATCACGAAAAAATTAAATTGCAACCAATTTATTTTGCAAAATCTGTCACACAAATCAAACAATAGCAGGAACATTTACACAACAGACAGGCATATATTATCGAAACATCAAAATCCAACTAGCTCTTCAAGTTTAAAAATAACAGAGTTTTTTTTCTCTTCCAAAATTGGTGGTTTAAAAGGATTCAGGATGTGTTTCAGACATTTGCACTACATGAACTGCAATTGTTGCAAGCACATTTTTTTGCTGAAAAAGAGTCCACCAAATCTAATTATAGTAAGTTCCAAGCACATTTTTATTTGACTTTGAAAACTCCAGGAAACATAGCATATCATCTTTGAGTTCGAAGTTTCAAACAATAACATCTTGATGTGCTTCGATCATTACTATATCCAAAATACCACAGTTTTCAAGCCCTCACTCAAGCATAGTCACCCATCCTAATGGCTATAATTCACACAGCCCTTGGGGGCTTGCACACCACCTGTTTTTTATATTGTACATGCATTTCTTCTTAGCCTTTTAATGTAAAGCGCCCCTTTAGGGGTTCATGTACACTTCACCCACGCTATGGGTGAAAATTCTTACCTTGTAATTCCTTTTATTTTCTTACTACAAGTCAACAGCTTCCCAGGAAAAAGAAAAACCCATGGTTTTCAAGAAGGTTTAAAAATATTTGGCACTGGCAGACAAAATAAGGCAACCACAAATTTCATTATACAAGTCTCTTAAAGACGAGAATTAAATTCTCCCTTAGTTCAAAGCTCAAAACTCTCCAAACCCCAAAATTGTAAAACAAGTAATATCTCATAATGTCAAACAAAATCATAATGTCAAACACATAACACCCTAATCACATTCATAATCCAAATAAAAGAAACATCAGGAGCAAGTACCCAAACCCTGACCGTAATACATCACAATAAGTTGCAAACTTCTGAAAAATATCATGCCCACATTGAAAATGTTAAAGATCGGCCATACTTCAGGCATTTAAAATTAAAATAAAACTAAAACTAAATATAAACAAGATACATTACCAGAAAAACTTGGCATGAACTGAAACACCAATCATAAATTGGATTACAGGGGAACAATGCCAGTGATGGGTTGGAAGAAATGGTATATGCAAAAATAGCAGGTCATTGTATAAGGTGGGCCACATATCACCTTCTGAAAAAAGTGCTATCAAATTTGTAGCAAGTGGTTTAAATGGAGCTGACAGCAACAAGAAAATCAAGAATGCCTATAACGATTACTTAATACCCAGATAATAGTGTACGCTTAAGAGTACCAGTAACAGAATGCCATATTGATAGAACGGCATGCAATAAGGCCTTGATCAAAACTCGCCCGTAAAAAAACCTATAAAATCTCCAAAATAGACTTATCTCCACTGGCTTTCTTTCACAACCCATTTAGCTCACAATATTTATTCAAGTAATAGCAAACATTAGCAGCTCTCTTGGATTTCTTTTCACTCAAACCAAACATTATAGGCCACCGAAATGAGAAATTCTCTCGAGTCTCGATTGGAGAAGCTCTTCCGTTGTTTGGAATCCCTAAGGGGGCGTTTCAATTTCTGGAAGCAGCAGTTTTGGAAACTGCCACATCCTAAAACTGTATTACGTCCCAGTTTGATTATGGGAAGTACTACATGTTTTTTGAAAGCCACAGTATCCCATGGCAAGCAAAACAACGTTGAAAGGAGGAAATGGCAGCTTCCATGAAGGGCCATGGAAGAGGCCATTTCCATTCTTTGGGAAAATGCAGTTTCCAAAACCACGCCTTCCCATTATCAACCACAGCATAAAGGAACTCTAAGGTTTGACAATCAGAAACCAGATCTAACTTCCAAATTATTCCTCCCAGAATATTTTCATCCAAAAACTTACTCATCTTTTAGACTTCTTCAGAAACCCAAAACAGTCTGTAGCAAGTCCTTTTATGACATACTTTAGGTAGGAAACAGAAAAACACGATGTTGCAACCCCACGCCAACCCCCCAAAAAAAAATAAATCCTGACCACCCAGTCCTAAAGGCCTCTTCTATTCTATATTTTCTAAAATATTCCATAACCCTTAGAAACTCCTCCATGGAACAAACTTATTCTTTATTGATAGTACAAAATTTCTTACTTCACGAATTTCTACACTTCCTGTATCTTTACAAGTTCTTGAGTGCATCTCCATGTGTTCCTTAGTTATGGACTTTATTGATTAGAATTTAGACCATACATATATACCAATGAACTCAGTGACCCCAATCACAACCCTATGCCCAACAGCTAAGAAATACTATATAGGGCATATTTACTAACTGTTAGCAGCAGCACAAAGATAAACATCTAGTGAATGAAAAAAGTTGTGCCTCAATTTATAAAAATGCCTATGCAAGACGATCTGGAATCTCTTCCTTCCTAGAATTATTTTGTGGATGGTTCCCTGGACCTTCCAAAAACAAAAGTGTGTAATTTAGAGGATTTGCACTTTAGCAATATTTTGAGGAATATCATCAAGAAAGTAGAAAATTATCATGGATGTGAGGAAACACATGTTCAATCAAAGGATTATGTATCCACAATCTCATGAACACTACGCAACAAGAGCAGTTAAGAATAAAAAAATAAAAAAAATAAAAAAAATGAAAAGGCAAGGTTTGGAATGATAGACACACAAACACGTATACACGTACCTAGGAAATCCCACATGAAGCACTTCCGCATGCCCCTTAAGACTGTACCTCGGCATCCACTCAAAACATGGACCATGTTTGACTACTATTTTTTCAAATGATGAGGAAGATTGCACTAAACAAAATTACAATACCCAACTATAGAATTAAAGCTCAACTTGATGTACATATCATAAGAATCCTGGACCTTCTGATGTAGGTTATCTTGGTATGGATGGAGATGGATTAGTTCCTGAAGGTCTCCCTTGGACCTTCAGGATTTCTGACTCCACCAAGACAAAAAGTAAGTAGTTTATGCTTACAACTCTAATAGTGGAGGGGAAGTAAATGAATGCGATAAGTTAGGAGAAATACAGGAGAATAGAGCAATATGAGGGATCGAGGATATGCGGATGACATTAGTTTTTTTGATGAGTAACTGAATCGCATTAAAACTGTAAACTTGTGCAATTTGGCAGGGTGGATGACACCACCTAGCACATGGAATTATAGAAAGGGCTACAAAAATGTGGCACCAGGGTGAACACAAGTACAAAATGGCACCAGGTGTATGCAACAGGGGCCAAGTTGGAAGCATCTAGTCGAAAGGGGATGGGTGGTAATGGATAGAGGGCAGGGAGACCCCTCAGAGGACAAGGGTGTCAGCCACGGAGTTCGTTTCACGCCAAGTGTGCTGAAAGGTGACGTAGAGACCTTGGCTCAAATGACAGATCTGCTCTAAGATGTTCTCTAGTCTCCTGTAGCACAGGGCAGCCCTTGCTGGCCCATGAAATAAAGATAGGAGGATCGCCTTCAATGAATATCAAAGACCCCCAGTCTCTGTTGAAGAGGGAAAGGCTGTGCAGAAACCCTAGGGACTCAATGGGTGAGGCACCGCAGAGTAAACTGGACAGGAGGAGAGAATGGCATCCCCATTGTGGGTATGAAATAAACTGCCGAAGCCTGCCAGGACAGGGTTTCAATAGGCGCTTCCATCAAAGTTTAATTTTATGCCACCTTGGCTAGGGGCCATCCACACAGAGGACCTAGAGTTGGAAAAAGGAGTGGGAAATGATTACAAAAGTCCGAGGACTAGAAGCTACCGAATGATTTGTTCGAGGAAGCCCAAAATACAATAATAAAAATAATCAGTTGGATGATGACGGGAATGCGAGAGGAGGAACTATCAAGTACCCATCAGTTTCTTTCAAGCCAAATGGACTACATTATCACCTGAATATAAATGTGCCATAGAAATCGCCTGGCATCTGACGTGGTAGTGAATCAAATAGTGCTATTTACAGACTTCTACGACCAAAGAAAAGGCAAACAGAGGATCTGGAGATGACAATAATGAAGAACAAATGATATGCTGAAGGGCTGCCAATGAGTACGGAAGTCCAAGGACAAGAAACTGCTAAAAATAGTTTGTTTGAGGAAACCCAAGGTATGATAGTTTAGGTGCGATTGGATGATGACGGAAATGCAGGAAGAATTATCAAATACCCATCAGTTTCTTTCAAGCCAAATGGATCAGTTTATCGCCTGAAATGCACCATAGCAATCGCCTGGGTGCTGCGAGGGGTACCTAATACAGGGTTCCACGACCAATGATGGCGAAACCCCGCTCAGTCAAAAGAGGTGAAGGAAACGAGTCCAAATTAAGGCGATTTGTGGGCAAAGCAGCAAGTGATGAAGATTAGACTCCTCATCAGGCCCACACATGATGCACCTATTTGCAAGTGGCATCTCTCGTCGTTTGATCTTGTCAACAATGAGAGCCTATTGCAGGAAGGCAAACTAAGTGAAGGCTTAAATCTTGGGTGGGGCCGAGAAAGCCATGCTCTATTTGCTGTAACTGGTATCTAGCTCTTCTGGACAACGTCTTAAAGAACGAATAAATGGAGAACATACAATTTTAGGAGTGAGTCCAGATTTAAGATGGTTTTGTCTAGATCCCAGAGGGGTAAGAAGGAATGAGGTGGGTCAGAAGGGAGACAAGTTGAGATTCCTCAATCCAGGTGAGGCCTGGTCAAATAAGAGTCCAGACCAGTTTGCTGCGCACATGATAAGCAATGGTAGCATCGCTGTTTATGGCAGTACAGAAGAGGGCTGAGAATGTAAGGCCTAGGGGTTGATTGCCAAGCCAAAGGTCTCTCCATAACCTAGTACAATTCCCAGATTTGGAGGACGTGCAGTCTGAAAAACTGAAATTAAGCTGCCTAATCGCACTCCAAGCACCCAATACCCTTGAGGAGCCCACCAGATCTTTCCATATCTTTTTCAATCACTTCTCCCCTCATGTGCTCTTGATTGGTGGCAAAACACGACCACAATTTACCGAGAAGAGCAGCATTGGTAATTTGTAGATTTCAAAACCCCAACCAGCCAGCCAACTTGCGTAAGCAAACCTGGTCCCATTTAATCACATGGAATTTGTTTGTCGCAGAGCTACCATTTCAAATCATGAGTTGTTCGAGTTTTTGGGCCACCATTACAGCCATGTGTAAGAGGGACATCTGAAACACTAGTTTAAATTAACAATGTGGACTTGATAAGCGTAATAAAAGAAAGTATGTGACGCATCCAAGTGGTGAGCTCCTTTTCAAATTTTTCACAATGGAATCCCATTGTGAAAAAACTGAAAAACTAAAATTAAGCTGCCTAATCGCACTCCAAGCACCATACCCTTGAGAAGCCAACCAGATCCACCAGTTCCATATCTGTTTTCAATCATTGCTCCCCACAGGTGCTCTTGATTGGTGGCAAAAGACGACCACAAAATGCCAAGATGAGAAGTATTGGTAATGTGTAGATATCAAAATCCCAACTCGCCAACCAACTTGCATAAGCAGACCTGGTCCCATTTAATCACATGGAATTTGTTTGTTGCAGAGCTACCATGTTTAATAATGAGTTGTTCTAGTTTTTGGGACACCATTACAGTCATGTGGACGAAGGACATCTGAAACGCTAGTTTATATTAACAATGTGGACTTGATAAGAGTAATATGACCCCTAAAAGACAGTAAGTGATGCATCCAAATGGTGAGCTTCTTTTCAATTTTTTCACAGTGGAATCCCAATGTGAAAAAGCTGAAAAACTGAAATTAAGCTGTCTAATCGCACTCCAAGCACCCGATACCCTTGAGAAGCCAACCAGATCCATCGGTTCCATATCTGTTTCAATCACTGCTCCCCAGAGGTGGTCTTGATTGGTGGCAAACCATGACCACAATTTGCCAAGAAAAGCAGTATTGATAATTGTACATTTCAAAACCCCAACTCGCCAACGGACTTAAGCAAGCAGACTTGGTCCCATTTAATCAAATGGAATTTGTTTGTCGCTGAGCTACCATTCCAAATCATGAGCTATTCTAGTTTTTCGGACACCATTACAGTCATGTGGAAGAGGGGCATGGGCATCTGAAACACTAGTTTATATTAACAATGAGGACTTGATAAGAGTATGCCAGGAATTTGCTTGGAATGGTCCTGTACCACTCCCAACCTTTGTGGTAACACTTGCAATTTCTCATGGTCCAAGCCTGCCCCATGAGTTTAGTTTTTGCATATTAAACCTGAGAACTGTAGCTAGATCAGACAGTGAAAGAAGAGTCGACCTCCTGTAGGGATGCATCTAGGAAAACCAGAGTATCATCTGCATATAAAGAGGTGGGATATGGTGGTGAGACCATGATGAGAGGAGAAGAAGCCCAAAAACATCCCTCCCTAGTGAAGACTTCGACGACTATGGATCTATTGAAGACTTCAACCACTATTGCAAAGAGAAGAGGGGATAGAAGGTTCCCTTGCCTGAGGCTCCAAGAGGATGGCAAAAATCCTTATCGGGAGCCATTAATTAGGATTGAGAAATGCGCCTAGGACCTGGAAGCCACTTCCTGTATTTGGATCTGAAGCCCATTAGATGCAAAATTCTACTGCACCCCCCACCTGTCGACATGGTCAAAGGCTTTCTCTAGATTCAGCTTAGAGAGGGAGCTTTTCTCTAGACACTTCATGCACAATGAGGACATCATCAAGAATCTACCCGATAGTGACAAAAGCAGTATGGTTTGGGGATAAGAGATTTATGATATAAGTAATCCTGATCCATCCAACAACTCCATCATAGCCCAAGAGATTTGATCACATATCTTTTCCTGACCAGAGAGGGCAAATTTAGATAGAATCTAAATATTGGGAATACTGACATTTCCTTAAAGATCATACTGCATGTGACATTTCCCTAAAGACCATATTAAAAGGTACATCAGAGGCAAGTGTAATCACACAAAAAACTTCCACAGAAACGCTCAATGGGTTTTAGAGAAGCTAGATGGGAAATCTCAATGCCCTAGCATCTCCGATATACAAAACCCATAAATTAAAACCTAAACCACAATTACATTCCAATGTAAGGCTATTGTACATCATCACTACAAACCCTATCTGAGTGTTAAAACTAAAAATTAGAAACTAACAAAAAATCAAAATGTAACAGAATAAACAGGAGCATTGCAAACCCTGTTCTTTATTCTTTTCCGATGAAGCCCTAGGCTGATAGTTTACAACTTTACATAATATCCATGTAACTGAGAAAAGTCTTGAAAGCCATGAAGGGGCTTTGGTCACCTATTTGTAGCTCATGAATTGCTCTTAGTTCAATGAAATTATTACTTATCAAAAGAAGAACTGAGAACCCTGGGAGTTAATATACACATTAAAAACAAGAACTAAACTAGTTAACCAGAAAAATGCAAACCCTAGAGATCAAAAATACACAAAAACAACATACGAATAAAGAAATTCCTCCTAGAAAATGCCAATCTTCATACACAAACAACAAGAACAAAAAAAATTACATATTGAGAAAAACAATTGCAACCCTAGAATTGATCACATCAATGAAGACAATCAATATACAGACAATTCCTTCCCGATAAATATGGAAATCCTAGGGGTCAAAATACAGAAGAAAAACCAAACAATTAAGACAAAAAACTCACATTATACGTGACATCAGGCTTCTCAGACTGCCCTAGAAGAGAGATACTTGAATCAGCCTCAGGAGGAAGCACATCAACGAGAGCATTTGAATGCCTATGCAAAGCCACAGAGGCTGAAGGCTTTAAAAGCTCGCGATTAATGGTGCTCAGTATCCTTACATAATAATTAGAACCAGTAGTTGAACCAACAATTCCATTGTTCTGGTCCACCATCTCCATGAATTGGCCTATAACCAAGGGAACAGACTGTATCCTCTTTACCTCTTCCTGAGCCCTCAAAAGCTCTCTCTTGAGGTTCTTCTGCTCATCTTTCACATACTCTTCTTGAATATCGATGAATTCGAGCTGGCGTTGCAGCGACTTGAGGCGACTATAAAGATCGTCTTCCTCTGAATCAGAGTGAAGATGGGGTTCAGATTTAGAGAGAACTGGAGGAGGCTCAGATCGCAGGTCTAGGGTTTTAGGTTCCACCATTACAGAGACCGCCATGATTGAGAAAAGAGTAAGAGGAAGACCTAGGTTTTCCCGGTTGAAAAACGCCGTCGAATTTTGGGTTTTCGAGTTTCCCGGTGTCAGAGAAAAAGCGAGAGAAACAGTCGGTTTCTTGATTGAGAGGGAATAGGGTGAAGAGTCGGTGCCATTATATTGTAGAGAGAGAGCGAGAGAGGTGGAGAAAAAAACTAGAGAGAGAAACTATGCCTAGGAGAGAGAGGAGAAGCATGGACAGAAATTGGGTGCAGAGACAGATTCCTATTAAATAAGGGTGCGGTTTGTATAGAGCCGAGGCCCTAAACAATTAAAGTAAACTGCACTTTCAAACCGTGTCGAGAAATGTAGTTTTGATATTGAAAATTTTTGTGGTAACTTTAAAATGTATTTTTATATTTAATTATAAATTTTAAAATTTCAATAAGAGTGTAGATCGAACAAATCTATGAAAACTTAAAAATCTTAAAAATTGATGGTCTCAAAATGTATTACAAGAGGCACAATTTTCAAAACTTGAAACCCATTTTTTCTCATATCCACGCACGTTGATGCCGAGATGATCAGTTTGATGATATTTGAGCATCAAAACACCTTTTTCTAGTAAAAATTTTGAGGTAGACTCTAATTAGATTGTTTAGAGCCTTGGCTCTATATAATTTTTTTTTTTTTTGTATATGAAAGCAAAATAAAGCTTCGCCTCAAATCCTCATCTACAAGTAACTTTACGGAAATCTCTATAATGACTTTAAAACCAATTTTCAAAACGACAATTAAATTCAAAACTCAAAAAATGGTATAGATATGCAGATCTATGACCATTTATTTTTAAAACGAAATTACGGTCTAGATAATTTATTACAATTATTATATTTTTAAAATTTGAATTTTTTTTCTTTTCCACAACTATAATGTTCAAGGCAAGATAATCGTCATAAAGATTTTCTAATGCTTGATTTGCAATTTTTCAATGAGGTATAAAGTGGGGCTGTATTTATTTTGATAGGCATGCATCCATATCAAACTATTTTCCTAAAATAAAAATATACTGATATAAAGAGTTTTTATAATGATTTTAATGGAAGGTTTGGTATACGTAAGATTACTTAAGTGAAAATATTTTTACGTGCAAAAAACTCTGTTACATGATTGGATGTGAGAGTCTTTCCATATCCATTGGCTATTAATTGGTTTGAAAAATGCACTGGAACCGATTTATGCGAAAAAACTCTCATACCTAGAGCACATTCGGTTTGCATAAAAATATTTCATATTGGTTAGGTATCGGAATATTTGACACAATTTATTGCCAATTGGTGTGAAAACATACACGGGGCTAATTGGTGTGAAAAATTCCCACACTTAACCACACATATATTTTTTTCACGCGAAAAATGTTTTTAGGTAAACCAAATGTGCCTCTAACCATATGAGTGAGTTTCTTCATGTGAAAATATTTTTTTAGAAGTATTATATATGTACCAAATGTGCCCTAAGAGAAATGATAAATTTTTATGTTTAGGGAGAGAGATATCGAGATATTGAGAGAAAAATAATGTGTAGGGAGAACATATATATATATATGTACCAAATGTGCCCAAAGAGAAATGATAAATTTTTATGTTTAGGGAGAGAGATATCGAGATATTGAGAGAAAAATAATGTGTAGGGAGAATAT